TAACAACTGTTGGCTAATGTTGGCTAATGGCTCCCCTCAGAGGTAGTATAGAAATGTGCATGTATCTAAAATGTGTTTTCTCAGTATTTTGTATTCAGAAAGTGTGGTGCCTTGTCCAAAATGTAAAAAGATTATACAGGATGTCTGAAAATGATCTTTAGAATTTCAATTCTATATACAATTGATGTTATAAAGATAATTTTAGGTCACTCCATACATTCCACCTTCCAAAACAGTAAGGAAGATGTCAAAGATACAGTCATGTCAGTCTGTAGAATTAGTACGTAGAGAGATCTTGTAGCACCTTTCAGACTCACTGAAAGAAATAAATTGGCAACATAAGGTTTCATAGACTTCAGTCTACTTTCTCAGATGCATTTGGTGGAGTGGAAGCCAGGCACAGACATATATATGCCATTGGTTTGTGAGGATGTGAATTCAAATTACAAATCCTTTGTGTATGGAAATGAAGTTGCAGGTTCAGTTTTAACAATGGTCGTTAGTGTACAAAGGCATAGGAAGCTGGTCTTTGTGCATGGAGATGAAATAGGACTAGTCTGTGGTGAGGAGAATAGATGAATGTAGGGCACCCCTATGAGGATGGGGTCAGATAGTGTTGAAATATGTGTAGTGAGTCAGGAAACCATTGTCTTTGTTCAATCCATTGCTGAGGGACTGCAGTTTGTGGGTGAATTCCAATTCTACTGTTTCTCTTTCCAAACGACCTTTGTAGTTCTTTTGTTCAATGACCACTGTTCTGAGGTCTGACATGGAATGCCCAGTAATATTGAAATGTTCTGCCATTGGTTTTTGTGTCTCTTTTATGTCCATTTATAAATCCCTCAGCAATGGATTGAAGAAAGACAATGGTTGCCATAAATAATTAACAACACTGTAGTTTTGGAGCAAACATGGAACAAGATCATCCAAAGCAGACAGTGGGGTGTAGACTTCCAGACAAATGTTGTTGTTTTTTTGTTTTGTTTTTGTGTGTGAGATAAACATCTGTGCATATTTATGGAATAATGAAGGAAGAGACAGGAGATTTCAGGCTGTAAACAATGGTAATATCTCTGTATTTTTTTGGCAAACTTTGCAATCTTTTTGCTCTGCTGAAAGGAAACATATGCTAGACTAGCATGTTACAATATTGAAAAGTGCATTGTCACCATAGGCATCAAAATTCACTGTAGGTTAAGACTGTGTGTTTAATGTTTATCATTGTATGGTGCACAGAGCAAGAATGAAAACAGAAGAAATCACCTGTGCACTCAACAGCAGTATCTTGCTTCTCTTTTTGTAGTTGGTCTGGCAGAAGATAATAGGGATATGTGAGGATGTCATTTCAATGTGAAGTCATAGGCTAGGCTTCCCTCAGCCTGTAGACTTCCCTCAGCCCGATAAACCCACACACACAAAAAAACTAATGTCATTTAAGTTTGTTTTAATTAAAATTTTCCAAAATTTACCAACATTGTCATATTCAAGTTAGAAACAATTTCAGATTTTATAAATTCAAATGAGAGCAAAAGTGGTAGATTCATCCATCCATGATGGATGGCCATCCAGACCCTGGGTTGTTAAAAGTTAACCTTGGAAAGTCTGCCTTAAATCCCTGTGAATTCAACCACATTAGTGCTGAAAAAAGTTGTTGTTATTCTGGGCCTTACAGTCATTTCCAACATATGGTGATGCTAAGATGTATGATGGGTTGTCCTAGGAAAGACTCATTCAGAAGTCTGATATTGCCTTTCTCTAATGCTGAGAAAATGTGACTTTCCTGAGGTCACCCAATGAGTTTCCATGGCTGCGTGGGCACTCAACTAAACCAACACTCAACTAAACCACACAGGTTCTAAAAAGAGGTTTCTACCTGTTTTAGTTTTATTTATTTTTTCTGAAAAGCTCCTCAGGTCTAACACCTACCTAGTAAGCAGGTACAAAGTTGTCCCTCAGCATGCTGAAGAAGTTTGTACCTATTGAATTTGCTCAATGTAAAGGGTGAGTGTGTTTCAGATCATCTTTGAACAGTTCACATTTTTCTGTACTTGGAACTAAGGGCCTAAGCAGACTGCCAGAAATAGTGCACATTAAAT